TATATATATATATATATATATATATATATATATATATATATATATATATGTTGTCAGTTTGTTATCAGTTTATTACATTGACAAAGAATTTCATATTTTTACACGTTTCATTTATATTTTCTACAGCAACATACATTACTAGGAATTACCTAGTTACAACATTGTTACTTAATTTATGTATATATACCAAGTATATAGTATATAACTATATATTATATACTATATACTTATATAATATACAAATAATTTATGACATCTACGACAATTATTTAGGTGGATCCTTTTTTTCATTCTTTGATTCTCGCAATTCTCGTTTTAATCCTTCTGCGATATCTCGCAACTGTTTAACAAAGTCACGCGGATTAGAAAACGTGCGTTGTCTTATATTTATTAAACCTGTTTTAAACAATATGGACACTATAAATTGTGCACTTTGCCTAATTGGTTTGGATTCTGCTAACTTATTAATTAATTGTTCATTATTTAACAAGTAGTGAAAGAAAGCTCTTATGAAACGCATGTTGTTAAAGTATATGAATGATAAAGTATGTTATTAATGTATATGATATTATTATATAATAGGCATCTGCTTATATTTTGGGTATCTCAAATGTGCATGTATTACGATACTTCAACAGAAGCTCCCGTTTCAATCTCAATTGTTTACGCAACGTTTCTAATTTTTGTAACTGTTCTTCTTTACTGTACTCTATTCCTGGTAATCTTTTAATCTAAACAATAACAGTAAAACAGTATTATAAAACAGTATTATATAAAAAAAATTTGTATGAGAATATTTGCATCTATTTATACATGTCATAAAACATAAATTTTTACCTGTGATCTTGCAGAATCCAATTTCTTTTGCAATTCTAAAATCTTATGACTAGTATCCTGTGATTCTTTTGCTTTTTGTGTAGTGTCATGTGGATCTTTTTCAACGCTGAAAATTACATTATTTTACGTTAATATATAAACAACTTGTTGAGGTTATGTACTGAATATTTATTTAATAGCAATTTGTTGGAACATAAAAATTAAGATAATTAGTTCCCTGATATAAAAATACATACCTACGTATAATCTCATAAATAAGCGGTAATATTTCAATATCTAAATCATCGACAGTGAATTGCGTTCTCAAAGGAGCCTCCTCTGGTAATTCTGCCGTCTCCATCATGTTCAGGGTTGTCAAACTTACGAAAGAAAATTACAACTTATTTTATTTGTAACTTATTATATTTGAAATATTTATGTGTGTGTATTACAAAAATGCCACTCTCTCTCTTTCTCTCTCTATTTTACTCTTTAAATTTATTATTCAGCTTTAAATTTTTTTTATTAGGTATATTTAGAGTTATGAGGCTTGAAAGAATTTTGGTCTTTAACCGTTTCTGTTTCGTAAAAACGTATCACTGTCTTCTGAACCGTGGATTTAGAAATAAAATTGCGATCAGAATATGCAGCATTGAACGTGTAGATCAGTTACTTCTTCGTATGATCTAATATGGTCTCTAAATTTTCGATAAAGAAACATCATTATCTTTTCTTTATCGGTTAACATTTTTAAAAAAGAAATTTGAAATTGTAGTTGGAAAAAGAAAGGAAAAAGACAAAGAGTAAGATGCGCGAGAGCATGATTCGTTTTTAAAATACAAAGATCGAGAAGTGTTATCGTGAAGCGCGGGTATGCGCGAGTTTTGACTGAGTACGTGTGATATTACGTCGTGAATGAATAACCGCATTCGATGCGAGCGAATGAACAACTAGGCTGGGAGCCTAAAAAACATAAACACA